GGCATGCAGATCCACCATCCCCCCTGGCTTTTTTTTACAACTTGACCAGTGGTTACAACCAACAGTAAAACAAACACAGGAGCGGTGTCCTGGTGCACCGAGCAGGGCAGCTGAGAGAAAGCGAGAGCCTGTTCTGCAGCCCTCTTAAATAGTGGAACCAGGTGCCACAGGTGGGTCTCATCACTGCTGATGACAAGGAAAACCCAGGTTACCACAGCACCACATGGTGGACAACCACAGGTTTGTCACAGTACCACACTTACTGTAAAATGCATTGTGTTTTTGCCGTCAAAATAGTACTTTTCAGTGCTGTTGTGTGTACAACGGTGTAAGATTATGAAAGATGCATTATTCGATTTCTTCCAGAAGGTAATCCTACAGTATATGCAAATGCCGTAGTCATAATATAACTTTTTTTGTTTGAAGTTGGGAATGTCTAAGTCGAGAAAATAAATGTCCTTTACACCCAGAGACAAATGTTAAAGTGTAAATGAATCTTGAATATGATCTTAGTTCAACGTGCCTACTGCTCTCCGTGTGAAACTGAATGTGTTGGCATGGAATAATTGCATTCATCAATATGTGTTTTCTCAGAATGGGACCCCAAAAATGTTTAGAGGCAATTCCAGAAAGAGATTCATTCAAAAGCAAACAAAGATGAAAATGCAAAGAACAAAACATGAAATCATTATTTAACATGGAACTAACTCGCTCTTGGTCTTTTTTAGTTACTTACTGTTGTTCATGTGCTTCAACCCATAGAAGTAACAAGGTACAACCCAAAGCCGGCCAAAAGGGAACTTTGGGATCGGTGAGGCTCGTCAGCAGCTTTCTGCAGTACCAATGTTACAACACTGCTGCCCCATCTAACTGACTCCCTTATCTTTTAGATTTTGACACCCTTCAACAAGCACATTCGGACGTTGGTTGAGAGCTCACAATTTGACCATGTGATCATGTTTGCTGTTTCCCTCAGTATTATCACCATTGCAGTTGAACATCATAATCAGGTGAGGAGCAAAGTGTTTCTTTGTCTAGGCTTCTATGGATTCCTGTGGTTTGATTAGAGTATGTTGTTTTGCTGGGGGTGAAAAGAGGAATACTATAATGAGATATTAACCATTTCTTCTTTCCCTTCTTTATTTTCCTTTTTGGCTCTTCCAACAGCCTCCTAAGATGACACACGTGTTACACATCTGTAACATCGTTTTCACATTTGTATTTTTTGTGGAGATGACGTTAAAACTGATCGCACTCCGCTTCAAATACTTTTTTGATCTGAACAACATCTTCGACTTTGCCATTGTTATTGTCAGGTAATGTAATCCCATCCAGTCCTACATGAGAACTACACTCAGAGTTATATCCTGTAAAATCTTTGAAATGTATATTATGTTCAACCAATTTCATTATTTGGGGTCTGACAATCCTACACAAAAATGTAGGTTTATAATAATAATAATAATAATAATAATATATTTAATTTGTTAGCGCTTTTACAGGTGCTCAAAGACGCTTTACAGATAATAGTGAAGAAAGAAAGAAAAGAGAAGAAAGGAACAACAAATAAATATATAGTTAAAGTTAAAAGTCAAATAATACAAAAACAATCACACATGAAAAGCCAGATTGAAGAGGTGAGTTTTTGTGAGTTTTTTGAAGGTGGTGAGGTCGGTGCAGTCTCTGATGGGTTGTGGGAGTTAGTTCCAGAGGGAGTGGGCAGCGACGGAGAAGGCTCTGTCCCCCCAGGTCCGGTGATTGGTGCGGGTGGGGATGGATAGGAGGTTGGCTTCTGATGAGTGGAGGCAGCGGGAAGGGGTGTGGTTGTGCAGCAGGTCTGTGAGGTAGGGGGGGGCCTGGTTGTTGAGGGCTTTGTAAGTTATGAGGAGGACTTTGAAGTCTTTGACGGACGGGGAGCCAGTGGAGGTTCTGGAGGATGGGAGTGATGTGGTCTCGGGAGCGGGTGTGGGTGAGGAGGCGGGCAGCAGAGTTCTGGATATGTTGGAGTTTATTGAGGAGGTTGGATGGTATGCCATAGAGGATGCTATTGCAGTAGTCGAGTCGTGAAGTGATGAATGCATGAATCAGGATTTCAGCAGCAGAGGAGGAGAGTGATGGGCGGAGACGGGCAATGTTTTNACTAGAAAGACAGTCGAACCCGGTGCATTCCTCCGTCTGAATGTGGTGCACTTTTGCTAAATGTTTAGACAAATTGCTCGTGTTACCGCCCTTACATGCTAAACACTCTTGGCAAGGAGCATTGTCCACCTCAAGACGGGTAACATTTAACCACACCTTGGAGCGCTTCTCTCCGCCATCTCCTCCGCGTGTTGCTGCATGTAGCAGCTGCGTGTGTGTGTGTAAACTGCCCCGCCCCCCTCGCACACAGACGTGAGAGAGATCTGGTCTCGATTGGAAAGGTTGAAAATACACCGACCATAGACGCATTTGTTTGTCTTTTTGCATGTTAGAAACGAGTTGGCGACACTAAGACTGCGAGATAAGGTTTTTGTAGCAATAATACATGACCTTTCTCTTTCTAAACTCGCTACTCGGAGGGAAGTCGCTGTCATATGCCTTGTAAACGCTCCGATAATGCCTCTCCACGTTACCTTCCTTTGGCAGAGCAACGCTTGCTTTACAAATAAGGCAAATAACCTTTGAATGTGACAATGACATCACAAAAAAATATTCTTCCTCCCATTCTGTGTGGAAGTGATATGTCTCCAGCTTTTTGATCGGTCCCGCACTCATTTTGTTGTTTGTCTCTTTAACTCAATTTGAGTTTTCCCGGCACTTGACTGATTTTGTATCGCTTTGCATTCTGGGTTAACAGACTGGAAAGCGATAGGTCACTTTTTCTGTCAATCAAGTAAACTCCTGAATTAAGTGGCAGGGAGGCCAAGGGAGGAGGGATCAAAACCTGTTTTGTCTATTTTAACGAATGAATGACTCGCGATCTACCAGCATTGCCCCCGCGGTCGACGTACTGGGCACCTCTGAGAGGATGCTATTGCAGTAGTCGAGTCGTGAAGTGATGAATGCATGAATCAGGATTTCAGCAGCAGAGGAGGAGAGTGATGGGCGGAGACGGGCAATGTTTTTGAGGTGGAAAAAGGCGTTTATGACACTGACTCCATTTATATATTTATAGAAGTTATCAGTGTTGGAATGTAACTTAGTGCATAATTCAAGTATTGTACTCTAATACTTAATTTATTAACCCTCATAGTGAGTTACAAATAAACACACATGATACACTGATATGATTGACCAACCACGTCCTTAAAATGATATGACGTGTATTTGTTGAGGATAAAAAGCAGAATAATATTATGCTATGCCTATGATACTATAATCAGTGCTGGAGATAAGTTAAGTTCATGCACTCAATAACTGTATTAAAGTTCATTGATAAGTACCTGTACTTTACTTAATTACTTTCATTCTATGCTACTTTAAACTTCCACCCCTCTACTGTACATCTTATATGGTTCTATGCCAATAATGTCCATATCTCACCTAATTTTTAAGTTAAAGGGAAAGTACTTCAATCTACATTTTGCTGCTAATACCTTTACTTGAGTCAGTGTTTCTTCTTGTTTTCGGTGTTCAGTGTGTGGGAGCTAATTGCCGAAACAGATGGCAGGTTGTCAGTGCTGCGCGCTTTTCGTCTGCTGCGGTTTGTGAGGCTTCTTCACTTCCTCCCATACCTACTGAGACAGCTGCTGGTGCTGAAGAGGACCATCGCCGAGGCAGGCCCGCTCTGCATGCTGCTGTTGCTCTTCACTTTCGTTTGCAGGCATGTACACACACAGATCCAACCTCCCTCTCTATCATTCGTTCGAGACATTTGTAGTATCGCAGAAAATCCCATATTATATGTTCTATTACTACAATAATGATCACCCCTGAGATACACACATTTGAACTGTGGTAATTGAAGACGTATAGTACGTAAGTACTTTACGTAGTTATAATTTGAAATACATTTATATTATCTGGCACTCGGTCACTTTTTATATAAATAACATGGTGTGTTGATAAGATATATACACTACTATTCTACTCAGCAGTACACAAACTATACAACATGTTCTCCACATGAGTACTTTTACTTTTGATACTTTAGGTACATTTAGCTGATAATACTTCTGTACTTTTACGTAAGGAACATTTTGATCTCAGGATCTTTACTTTTAATGGAGTATTTTTAGAGTGGTATTACATAATAAGTAAAGGGTCTGAGTATTTCTTTCACCCCTGGATTTCAATGATGTTATGGTTTCTCTGCAGTGTACTGGGTATGCATCTGTTTGGTGGTCAATTCATATTCAAGGACCCTCAAGGAGATATAATCATTGAGCGAAAAAACTTTGACACCCTGCTCTGGTCCATGGTCACTGTGTTCCAGGTACGTTTTTGTATTTCTTAATTTGAGCTCTCATGATTGTTATCCACCCTTATGCATTGTTTGCCTTAATATCTATCAGTGATATACTCTTGAATCTATCAATCCAGATTCTGACTCAGGAGGACTGGAACCTGGTGCTGTACAACGCCATGACGGCTACCACGCCATGGGCTTTCCTGTACTTTGTCACCGTCATTATGTTAGGAAAACATGTACTTCTCAATATTCTCGTGGGCATAGTGGTTCAGAGCTTCCAGGAAAAGGTAAATACCTCTGTCTTCTCCAAGAGCTCGATGTTTTACACACAAAAGCTAGGCACACTCAAACACTCACATACACACCAATGCCGTACTCTACTTCCTGTTGTTCCAGGAGTCCTCAGAATGCACTCAAGACTCTTCTCGCATTGACGAGGATTTCAACGACTCTGTAACCAGCTTCACCTCAGAGACAGTAAGTCTCTAAGAGTCATGAATCTTTGAGATGTTGGTGAGAAACTTTTTTGCTTCTCCCTTGTTGAGATAATAGTTACGGTTTGTAAGACATGGGGTGATGTACCTGCTCAGTCATAGACACTGTCCCACACACACCTTGCTATTTCATTTTGTTCCAGGACCCCTCGAGACCCAGCCAATCTCCCTTAACCTCTGAGAAAGACACTGAACCAGCAAATACCCAAGAAGACAATGTAAGTTCCTATGAGTAAAAGTTATAGTATAGAATAGAATAGATAGTTATTAAGTCTGGTTTTGAACTCAATCGAGAGTTAATCCTGGGGTGAAAATGTTAGGTTATTTGAATAAATATGGTCATGTGTCTTTGCCGGAAATCTCTAAGCAACATGTATGCTAGTGTACTGCTTTAATCTTCATGGGGGTTCTTTGAAATATTTATTTCACAATTTGGCTAAAGAGAGGCAGTGGATGTGTAACTTCTACCCTCCCACTTCAGAAACCTTTGACCTGTATCCAGCAAATGCTCCACTGGTGCAAGGAACATGAAGAGTGGGCATTCTACGTCTTTTCTCCACAGAACAGGTACGATTAATAGGTAACGATATTTCTATCATCATCATCTGTACTCAAAAAATTTAATAAATAATAATTAAAATGTCAGGGCCAAATAATCAGTTTGTCCATCCTACACTAATACTTTTGGATTGTGAAACAGGTTTTTAAATGCATTGCATGTGATGTTAAAAAGTCTTATGCTTACTTATTTTTAAACTGCAGAACCAGTTTGAGCCAGTCACATCGCATTTGATTGTTACATCTATGTGTAGATTTCCGATTTCAAAATGTATATTTCAATGTTTTACAGGAAGTGAAAAAGAATAATTTTGATAAACAAACTTGATGTATTTTTTGCATATCCCAAGGGAATCAAAAATATTTAACATTTCACTTTCTCTTGTAATTGCTTCCTCTTATGTTTAACGGACTTCGTTAACTAAGGTATGTGTGTATGTCTTTAGGTTCCGAATCTATTGCCAACGTTTGATCTATCACAAGTTGTTTGACAACACGGTTCTCCTATTCATCCTGCTAAGCTGTGTCACCATTGCTATGGAGAGGCCTGGAATACACAGTGACAGCACGGTGAGAAACCTGCAATTACTGTTAGTCTGGAGACATAAATTAAACCCTCAAACACCACCATATCTAATCAGACACACACAAGCATCGTACGATCAGTGTAGAACACACACAGTAATCATATTACATGTACTGTGGGATGAGAGGAGGCATCAATGCAGAATAAGAGACACACAAAGTCAAGAATAATGTTTTGCATCTTATGGAACAAATAATATGTAATATGAGTTTTGATTAAATTTAATACAAATACAGGCAGGATATAATTGAATCTCACCCTGCCCTTTAGGAGCGATGGATCCTGAATATGTCGCGTTACGTGTTCTCCGGTGTCTTCCTGGTAGAGATGCTCTTTAAGGTAAGATCTGTTTTGTTTTTTAACAGTTTTAACTTTATGACCCCTAATTTGTTAAATGAACTGTCCACTACCTGCTGGGTGGAGATCAGAAATGAGAATTAAAGGAAAATATATAAACAATATATTGCAAATTAAACAAAAAGATAAAGTTACGTTTTTGTATTCATAATTTTCTAGCTTTAAATACATTTTGTAGCTCAGATTTTCAGGAGTATTTGAAAAAGGCCCATATTATTGTATTAAGACTTCTTAATTGATCCATTGTTGCTGTAACAACAGGTTGTAGCTCTCGGTGTGTTCTTTGGGAAGGACAGCTACTGCAGCTCTTCCTGGAACGTCATGGATGGTTTGCTGGTGATTCTGTCGGTAATTCATATCATCATCTCTCTGGCCAGTTCGGGCGAAAACAACATGCTGGGCATTCTTAAAGTTTTGCGCCTGCTACGGACACTTCGCCCACTGAGGTACAGCAGAGCATAGATGTTTGTTTTCTTTTGTTTTTCTTCAGTCTTTGTGTTGATTTATGCACATGTTTACGTAATATGGCTGCGCTGGCATCACACCTCATGTCATAGTTAGGTAATTTGGCAGTGTGTGTGTGTGTGTGTGCTGGTTCTAAGAAAAAAAGTTTGTTTATGTCTGTTTTCCAGGGTGATCAAGCGGGCCCCCAAATTGAAGCTGGCTGTGGATGCTTTGATCACTTCCATCAAACCCATCGGTAACATAGTTTTCATCTGCTGCACCTTCTTCTTTTTCTACAGCATCCTTGGGGTACAGGTACTGTGGAAATGCACGCACACACACACACACACACACTTATCCTATGCATCGAAAGTTAAGGCTTTGTAATGACATGGCAATGGTGGATTAACACTCTGTCCCTGTTTCTCTCTCACTGTACACTGTAGCTGTTCAAAGGGAAGTTCTTCCACTGCTTGGGTCAATACACAAAGAACATCACCAACAAGTCTGACTGTCTCTTAGCCAACTATCTCTGGGTGCAAAAGCGGTACAACTTTGACAGCCTGCCTCAGGTAAGGACTGACGCTCTGTGAATGAGACAGGAAAAGGCATGGAGGCCGCAAGCATTCATGACAGCATCTCCAAACACAAAACTAACAAAATAGACACTAGAAATGAAATTGGTTAATCATGCTTAACATTCATATATTTTAAAAAAATGTCATCTTATCTTCACCCAATGTGGTCCATTATATACTTAAATTACCCTCAAAAAGGTTTTACTTTATTGTTGTTTACACAGAGTTATTTGTAGTGTCTCTGATGTTTAAGCAAATAAGATTAAAACTTGGAAAATAGTAGTGTGATAACTTTACAGTTCTTTCTTTGTTTCCAATGTAGGCTCTGATGTCCCTTTTTGTGATGTACTCAAAGGACGGATGGGTGAACCTAATGTATGATGGACTGGATGCTGTGGGAATAGACCAACAGGTATTTTTGTTGGCAATATGAAACATGTACACATGGTATCAGAACAAATACATTCTTATGTTTATTTTCTTCTCTTCTAAGCCCATGAGAAACCATAACCAGTGGATGCTTGTTTTTTTCATCACGTTCATGGTTATGAGCTTCTTCCTCCTCGATATGTTTATCGGTGTAATGGTGGAGACCTTCGCCCAGTGTCAGCAGCAGCAAAAAAAAGAAAATGAAGAGGAAGCATCACATGACCCGAGCAGGAGTAAGGAGCCTTTTAAAGTCTAAAAACCACAAACACTGAACACAATGTAAAAAATGTATTCAAACAGATAGTGTACTGGGTTTACAAGATTGTTTTTGTTGAAAACTAAAAATGTGATGTGTCGAGAGGAACTGCACAACCGTATGTGTGTAAGTCTTCCAATACACACTTCATTGCACCCATTGTCGATATAGAAATATCAATAAATTCAGTTCTAAATGCTTTGGGCGTTTGTAACTAATATGTCTCCCATCTCTGTTCACATTGATCTGAATATCTCCATCTTTGTGTGTTTACATTTCAGACAAGCCTAAGAAGATACCTACGCAGCCTCCATATTACACATGCTACTCCCCGATGCGTCGCTCCATACACACTCTGTGTACCAGCGACTTCATTGACGTCTTCATGGCCACCATCATTTTGATCAGTGTCCTCATCATGGCCTTCCAACATTACAAACAGCCTCTGGTAATTGCACACACAGTCCCTGTCTACAGCTTAGAAATGCCACAAAAAAGGAATGTGCATTGACTCTAGGAGGGGATGGAAATAAACCGTTTGCTGTCTGTGTGTTCAGTATATAGAATTGCTCACAGAGTATTCGTACTATGCCTTCACTGTCCTCCTGATCATTGAAGTCCTCTTGAAGATTCTGGCGTTTGGCATACGGAGGTTCCTCCGAAACAGGTAACACGCTACAATAATGGAGAACTCAATTTCCTTATTTGCATGTTAGGAAACGTCAGTACTCATAGTGTTGTGTGCATAATGTTTGTGTTTGTTTAGTTGGAATCATCTGGACGTGGCGGTTGTCTTGGTTTCCGTCGTCAGCATTGTTTTCATTGGGATGGAAATGGCCGACTGGATTCCCATTAATCCCAGCATCCTGAGAGTCTGTAGAGTTCTCAGGCTAGCAAAAGGTACACACACACACACACACACACACACACACACACACACACACACACACACACACACACACACACACACACACACACACACACACCCTCTCTCTCTCTCACACACTCTCACACACACACACACACACACACACACACACACACACACACACACACACACACACACACGATCTCAGACACACACTTGAAAAAGGGAAACGTTTCTTAAGGATAGCTTTTGGTGCGAAAATGTCTAATTAAGTGTATGTGTTTTGCATGCACATACACAAAGTCATTCCTAACATCTCCTGTGTCTCTCCTCAGTGCTGAAGCACAAGAAAATAAGAGTCCTCCTGAAAACAATTATCAAGACGCTGTCACAGGTAAAAACTTGATTTTGTTTCTGCTAGATTCATTATAGATGCAAAATGAGAAATAATTATTTTAATTTGCATGGGGATGTTCCTGCTGCATTTGTGCTAGAGTTGATAAATATTTGAATGTTTAAAGTATGCAGATTGTGATCCTGATGTATCTCTGTTTGCAATCTGTTTGGACCCTAGAGAGCCTATAACGCTAGTCAGTTTTATTATTGAATTCGCAAACCAATAAAGATCTTATTGTATTGCTTTTACAGTAGTCGTAGATCTCTGGTCATTTAAAAGTTCTCTATCATTTTACAGATGTCTCTGTAAATGGAGCAGAACATAAAATGCTACTAAAAAAAGGTGCCGTGCTTAAAAAACATTGGTAATCAGAAATGAAGGCTTGTCTAAAATAAAGGCTTGTCATTTCTTCTAGCTAAGGCACATAAGGTCCTGGTCCCTATTTGAAGATCTACAGATTGTAGTGTTTGTTGTTGTTTGTGGGAGATCTAACATGCATTTTCATTTTGTTTAGGTTGGGAGCATTTGTCTTCTGTTCGCTTTTTTTTTCTTTATATACGCTGCGCTGGGAGTGGAGCTCTTCGGCAACCTAGGTCAGTCACACTACTAGCAGAATACACACAGCAATATGAGAAAGAGACACATTTTCTTGATACATTTTTTGTTGTTGTGGATGAATACACTTGATTTTCGTTTGAAAACAGTATCTGTATGTTTGAATTGTGTGCTTCTGTTTCCATCAGATTGTACCGAAGAGAATCCCTGCCTTGGCTTACATCGGCATGCTAACTTTAAGCATTTTGGCATGGCCCTGCTCACGCTGTACCAAGTGTGCACCGGAGACAACTGGAGCGCAATAATGAAGGTAAGTCACTGCTGAGAGAGCAGTCTGTGAGTCAGTCCATCAGCCTTTCTGAATCCTGCCCTTTGTTTCTCAAGGACACTTTGAGGGAGTGTCGTCCCACCGACATCGATTGTGTGACCTACCTCTCCCACGTCTCCCCCATGTTCTTCTCCTCCTTCGTGGTCATGGCCCAGTTTGTACTGGTCAACCTGGTGGTGGCAGCCATAATGCAGGCTCTGGAGGACAGCAACGAGGTACAGTTGCTACAACAATCACAGACCAAGAAAGCACAGAAACACATAGCCAGTATTTATAAACAACAGCTGTAAATCTTTAACAGGTTTGTAATTTCTTATATTTTATATATATATATTATTTTATTTTTTTGTAATTCTTTATTTATTTGGGGTCACATTATATTAAAAGTACAGTTTTGCAAGTCATATATTTTTAGGGACCCGAAAATGATAAATTAAATACCGAACAAAATTAGTCAAATAAAAACGAAAAAATACACAGGGGTTGTTTGAAATGACAAATATCTACACATGTACATTAAGTTTCATGGAAAGAGCAATATAACAGCTACTTATTATTTGGTATTTAAATCTTAGTTTGAAAGCTAAACATACTATTAGATAATACAAACAAATATTAATAATTATAAGACAAATCAACTTTTATTTCTTACTTTAAGATTTAAATACCAAAGTAACAGAGGAATATTTTAATATTTCAGAGCAACCCAACTAATTTCTGTCTCCCCCTGGAGGAGGAGGAGGACGAGGAGGAGGAGGAGGAGGAGGAGGAGCCGTCGGACAATGCAGGCACGAGTCTCCAGGGCAGTGTTGGTGTTTTAAGTAATGAGTGAATATTTGTAAATGTGATTACTTGAAGTTTGATTCTTTGTTTCTGTACCTTTTTTTTATAACATGAATAAATAGAACAGACTTGATTTCCACATGGATCACTTTTTACTTTTCTATTCATTCATTTCTTGTTTTGGTTGTTATATAAAAATACTTCAGATCTAGTATGAAGAATCAATGTGATAAATGTGAAACACCTCGACAAAGTCCCTTGGCCCTTATGACAATACGACAGCAATTGGATGGAAATAAAACACACGGGGCAGTCCTGAACACATAAATACTTAAATTATTAAGAGCAAAGTCTACTTCTTTAAAGGGTAAGGAGATGTCAGAGGGTGGTATGTGAACATGTAACAAAAACAGAGCATGAAACATGGAGGCTTTTAGATTTTCAGCATCTCAAGTTTTGACCTCTTTACATGGAGAAAGGCTATTGCAAATACACGTGTAGTTTTGGAATGTATATTTTCCTGTTCCAAAAGAGTAAGCATAAAACAGGACATTACAGGAAGACGAAGAAAAGTCAATCTCACTTTTTCTCCTTTTTCTCCTTTATTTCATGGTACACACAACATAAGGTCATTTTTTTCTCAAACCATAGCTTGGCTTCCATAGTTAATCCAAGTAAGGCAAGTCACAAAAATATACTATAATGACACAACATATTTGCAGGCAGAAAAATGTGTATGAAAGGTAACTGTTTTTCAGACCAGAAATAACAATGAGATTGTATTAAAAACCACACCATTGAACACATTTTATGAAAATAAATGGTAGAAATCAAGGTCCTCCACCATCTTCGTATGGGGACATGATAACATCTGCAGTGAAGAAGGTTTTTTCTCTTCTATTACAGACAGAAATATAGGTTTTTGTTTACCACAGAGGGGCTCTGCTCAGCACCCCCTTCCAGCTGCGAGAGTCTGCAACCTGCAACAAAACAGGGAAGTGTGTGCAAACACAAAACAGAAAAATGTGCAGTAAGAAACACATCGTATGCAAAAAGAACAGAGAGACTTAAAGGATATATTGAAACCTTTGTGTATGTTTCTGAGATGTTTGCAGCTAAATGAAAAATGACAATAAGATGAAGTATTTATTTTTGTTTGATCAGAATGACTTGCCTGCATTCTCTTATGAAGAAACCTCAACTTCTGGTTGAGACATTCAATCTCCTGAGGAAAGACAGAGGCCATGGTCACGTGGATGCAGGGATAACTCTTAACAGTATAACCGTAAAACAAACTATCCCTGTTATATTGCCATATTTTCACAATATTATCAAATAATTGTTCATGACTAAATGGTCAGGGTTATGCTCATAGGCATGGCCGTGTTATGGTTAACATTGTGTTCCCTGTTAAAACCAGAGGAAAATACCTGGCTTAGTTTTTCGTCGCATCTGAGTTGGATCTCAGGCAGAAGCTCCTCCAGTCTCTGAATCTACAATGAAACTTAATTCATGTTATGCTTTAAAATTCAGACAAAATTTAAATTGCATGAGGAAACAGTCAATTCCCACATAATATATTTACAGTAAAACAGGTAAACAGACTTTACCAAACACTATGTATTTTAGTATAGTTCTCAGCTGTGTTTTCCTGCACTTAATAATCTCCTCATTGACACATAAAACAAAATGAAGGCTATTTCAAAGGAAACACAAAAAAGCAATTTTATGTTAGAGCAGTCCTGCTGATTAAACCATGAATTCTCTGCAATAACCAAACCTCAGTTATAGTAATATGACTGTGTCTGTCTTACCCTCCTGTCAATAGTCTGTAGCCTGGTCTTCATGCTCTTGTTCATCACGGTCATGGCAATGGTTCTGGGTGCCGGACGCACTGGGAACAGACACATCACAACCTGTCCAGATCTGGATCCACAGCTTAAGAAAACATTATCAAAGGGAACAAAACGTGACTCCACTCTTACCATGCTGAAAGATCTTGGATACTTCAAGCACATAAGGCCTGTAGTAAAAAAAAAAACACATGTCACCAGATGATATCAATAAGTGCTTGCAATGAAAAGACCGACTACAATCAAAGACTCCTTACACATGCTTGCTGTTAGCAGGGATCGAGCTGTTCAGAGGGATCAGACAGCCACCATGATTCCTTATCTGCAACCATAGCAAAGTTAAATTAATCTTTCAACCATTTCAGCAACAACCAAACGCTTGTTTTCAAATCAGTATTTTTCAGTATTCAGTTTTGTTTTCACCTTGTGTGTCTGTGTTTTCATTAGTTTGTCATTGTGGCAAAATGTGCTGGAGGCCGTTGGCTCTCCCACGGTTTGTCCTTGTGGCATCACTACTTTTTTTTCTTTTCAACAATATCATGCAGACATATAAATATCATTCAGACAAAAAAATCTCTCACATGAGGACAACATAGTTGTTTTACCTTGAATATGACATCAGAAGAGTTCAGCCTAAAGGTAGTGGTGAGAATCTGAAAGAAAAAAATATATCAAAAGTGTATTATCAAAGTATACAACATCCAAAAATTAAACCACCAGAGCATTTCAGTTATTTAGGTATTTTCATAAATGATCTCTAGTAATATTGTAATGTTTATATATTTATATCTGATAGGTGAGCAAGAACATATTTGCAGGTGTGATTAAATGCACACCTGTATGACCGTGGGGACCTCAGCTGCTGGAGGAATGGACACTTCTTGAAGAGCCACCACTCTTTCATCTGCAACAGATACAACATTAGATACTGTCTCTCTCTCTAAAGGCTTTATTAATGAAGAATATGTTTTCTAATTCTGTATAGTTTAGTGATAAGCTGTTTATCTATGCCCACTTATATATTTTGGTTATGTATAAACATACAAACAAGATGTCTTGAAATAACAACTATTGTAAGCCGATCACGATCCAGTGCAACGTACACAAGTGTGATATTGACCCTTAAAACCTCTAATGTTTTTTTTATTTACTTTATAAGCATATTTAAATTATGTGTTAACCAAAAGAGCACTATTGCAACCACAAACACACACAAATACCCGGAATCATTTAGTTTAGTTTAACATTACTCCCATATTCACAGGATATAGGATTTGTATTCACTCTTTGAATAACTAAATCAGAGATCTGGGCCGCAGTCAATCACTCAAGATAGATACAGCTCAGATACAGCTGCTGTTGTTGTTTTCCACTTTGACAATTTATAGAAGTAGGTTTTAAAACAACTGACATTTGCAGAAGTTAAAGAAAACAACTTTCGAAAGGATGAATTAGTATGCTGCCTGGATCCTGGATGCATATCATTTCCATGAGCCCAAATGTAGTCTTCAATGGGTTAAGGAGGCTGGTTGCCATGGACACAGACGCACACAGAGTTCATATTTACCTCAAAAAATAATATATCGCTGATCGCAAAGTAAAAACAAAAACAGAAGGCTACGAACCTTTATTGTCCAGCCGTTTCACAGTGAACCAGACCTTTGATACTCGTGGTGATTTATCAAAACTGATGTAAGACATTTTGATAATCCGAACAGCAGCACGAGACATGAGAAGAAGCCTTCCTACGACATCCGGTCAGGGACTTTCAAAATAAGACCCTGGCCGAAATAAATCCATCGATTCTGCACTGTTGCAATTTGTTTTTGTCAATTATTTAAGATAAACGTAATGGTTTTGGTCTGTTTTAAGTGAACAAATTGAACAGGGGCTCTAGGGATTGATCTTTTAAAAAATGGGCTATGATATTCGAAGATAGCAGCATGAATTGTATTTTTTGCACCATACCACACGTCGTGAAGAAAACACTTTATTACACTTAACCAATTAATGATGTATTGTTTCAAAAACAGTATATCTCAATGCAAATGTACTTGTCAAATATAGTGGATGACACTATTTACCTCTGAATTGTAGTGGGGTGGAAATACAAAGTAGCAAACAATTTAAATTTAAGTAGACTACTACTAGTATCTCACTTGTACGCATGTGGCAAACGAGACAACACGCGCCCGCGCCCCTTCTTCTTCTTCTTCTTCTTCTTCGCTTGCTTTTGGCGGATTGCAAACAACTTAAAAGGTGCATACCGCCACCTACTGTACATGAGTATGCATCATCACATCATTCCAACTCATTAACCTATGTTCTAATCAAAATAAAATAAAAAATAAATTAATAAAACCATTAAATAAATAAAACAAACCAAAACAAATCTATGTTCTTTCCTGACCTAATGTTAAATTCTTTTTCCTACCCCAGTTTCACTCAAAAATTTAAACAGTGCCTTTCTGGTAGCTTTTACTCCCTCTCCTTTTGTTCCCAAAACACCAACCACACTCCACTCCCTCTCTGCCTCTAAGACTTTAGCCTTTAATTGTTCTCTTTCCGCTTTATAGCTGTCACAATTTAACAATATATGTTCTACATCTTCTTTTACTGCACAGTTCCCACACTTGTTACTGTTACTTTTCCCCATGATATACAGCGTACTATTCAAAGCCGTGTGATTTATTCGGAGTCTAGCCATCATGATTTCCTCCCTTCTGTTTCTTTCTTTATGAATATTAATTGTAATTGTATTTTGTACTTTGTGATC